TTTTTGACAAAATACACTGTAAAGCAACACCCCGGTAATTTTGAACGTTGTTTCTATCGCCGTTTTTGTAGACTGGTCAAATGACAAATGACGTTCTCCATATCTGCGGGACAGAGGCAGTTTCAAGTGATTCTTTAACAGTGTTGAGATTGGCACCTGCAATGAAACCAAACAATGCTTGATAAATTTGTTTGGAATTTCATCAGGACCACAGACAAGATCATCCGGAAGCATGTCAATTTGTTGTCCAACAAGCTCTTCAGTTATTTCAATCGGTGATATTTCAGCACAAATGTCGCGAATATTTTCAATCTCCGTGTTGTCATATCGTAGATCTCCCATCAAAGAGCTGTAGGCTGAGGCAAAGTGCTTTGCAAAGAAACCAGCGATTGTAGACTGGTCATCTGCCCTCATATCCATATAAGACATCTCATGCGGCAGATCATCACTTTTCCCTTTTATGTTATTCACATGTCTGAAAAACTTCTTTGGATCATCGTCTATCAGATTCTCCATCTCAATTCTGTAATCCTTGAGTGCTGACCGTGCACTGTGTTTATATTCTCTTCTTAATTGTTTAAAATTTTCTACTGATTCAATTGTGTTGACCTTATTTTTAATCCGATGAGCTTTGCTGACTTTGTTTTTCATCTCGATAAGTGGCTTGTTAAATCATATTGGTTGCTTCCTGATGATTTTTATTTTTAACTGGACATGAGTTACGATTGTTGATTTATTTACATCAAAAATTGAAAAAATATTTTTTTTTAAATTTTTTTAAATATGTAACTGTGTATTTTGTCACCGCCTGCATGTGGCACAACCCGGACATATGCATATCGTTGGAAAGGTCTTGAAGCTATCGAATGGTATCATTTTTGGTTAAAAAATTTCAATGTGGGATGGCCAAATTGGCCAAAAACTACAAATTTACCGATTGGCCGGACACATGACGTACATAATCTCGAAAACTAGTCAAACTTGATGCATTGAAAATTTCACCGATTTTAGGCCCAAGTTAAAGCTTAAAAACGCCGCATAGCTTATATGTCAGAAAATTTTTGTGTTCAAGATATGGCCTTTGACATGTAAATTTCATCGATTTATGCCCCATTCAAAGATAAAAAAAGTGTTGTGGTATATACACCACTAAAAATCGGCCGTTCCCATTATGAGCCATAATTTATGACATTTGAAGCCAAAAATAACCTAAAAGTCCATATTTTAATTGTATATCAAAATTATTCAAACTCAACTACTTAATTATTATTGTGTGGAGATGTTTTGAATCTTTAATTTGGAAAATTACTCTTACATAATTACTGATATCAAATAAAAAACTTCTGACGAGGTGAAGAGCGGAGTGACGAAACCAAAATGTGAAACACAAAATTTCGGCTATCAATTTTGCCACGTTCCGAATATACAAATGTATTTTAAGTTTTTAATCACAGTACACAGAGAAATTATCTATCATTTATTTTCGTCACAAAATTGATATCAGAAATTTTGTGTTTCACATTTTGGTTTCGTCACTCCGCTCTTCACCTCTTCAGAAGTTTTTTATTTGAGTTGCATTTTACACAGATTACCAATATAGATACTTTGTGTAATATTTGTCATTTTTGTGTAACAATATTTTCTCGTATTAATAAACTCCTCCTAAAGGCAGAAATATGCATTATAGGATTAAGTTACTTTACGAAATGAAATATATTTCGGTTAAAATAATTTTATCACATTTTGTCTCCTATTAATATATAGGTACCAATTGAGTTCCTTCGACCACAACAAGAAACAGCAGTGCACATTGGCGAATTTATATTATTCTATCGAATTTTGCCGATACGTCTAAAGGTTGAAAAACACTTTTTTGCCAACAGAAAATCATTCACAATGAAATGCGAAGCAACAGTTGGACATTATACACATTTAACCCGATCGAAAAATGCACGCGTTTTCATTGTATCTACCGATGACTTGACAAATCAGAAACTAATCAATTCAAAAAGTGAAGCATCATTGACAGGTAATAAAGAGAAGTATTTTTTGTTATACACAATCCTCATTAGATCTTTAATTTAATTTATAACAAAAATCTACAGTTTGATTTTATATATATATATGCGATATGAAGTTTTTCGAAATCAATGCTTAAATACCCCCAGGAATTACGCCAGTAATGTGCGAGCTACATTTTACAGGGGGAAGGGGGGGTTATTTTTCAAAAACAAAAACTTCTCTAGCAAATCAGACAAATTTTCGTTTTTTTTTTTTTTTGGAAGTCAATTTTTGAGGCAAAAATCAGCAAATCGAAAGAATTTTCTCCGCGAAAAACCCTAGCAAATCGGAAAAATATCTCTCGGAACCAAAAACCCTAGCAAATTGAAAGAATTCTCCTCAGTTTTCTACATTGATGAGCTAAAAAAAAAAGGTCTTCCATTTTTTCGTGAAAAACCCTTCACAGGGGGGGGGGGTAAACTGTAACAGCTGATTCGGAAAGAATATTTTCGTAAGAGCGCACAAAATTGCTCTCCGCTGCATAAACAAGTCACACTTCAACCATAATACCGAAGTCATAGCTGACAACAGCGCACCAAAAGACCATTTTTCATTTGATGCAGCCGTTTTCGAGAAAATGGTGGTGTGACATTGCCCCACCTGGTGAATTTGTCCCACGTATTCGTCCTAGCAGACGATTAATTTTGGCACATCCCAAGTTTCCCATTCTACAATTCTATAATTTTTTTATTTTCAATTTTCACTAATTTCTAAAACACAAAAGTAATTGAAATTGTTTTTTTTTTTCAGTGGTCCGATCTAAAACATTAAACGTATTCATATTAGTTTGTTTATTAGTAGCAATACATTTAAACTAATAATGAAACGAACTCCTAACATGAAAAAGGAATATTTAAGTTGAAGAAATTACAAGTGAAGAAATTTACAAATGTTAGAGACAACAGCTAAGAGGAAGATAAAGAATTCAAACAGCAATATATATTTTATTTGGTAATAATTCACTCATAATCAAGGTTTATATTGACTTTGAAATTGTTTATTGTTTTTAAAGAGCCTTTTTTCAGAGACATTCGGCTCAGGGGAGCGACGTGAAACGTACGATTAAAAACTTGACATCAGAGCTTAACTAAAAATGGTACAAACTCTCAATAGATGGCGCTTATAAATCGACAAAGACACTTACATTTTATCAGAAGAAAAATGAAAAATATTGAAATATTTTCAAAATATTTAATTTAATGATTTTAATTTGAATAAATTTAAATGGAGTGACTTCTAGTGCTTCTCTGATTAAATTGGTTTTAAAGTACTATAGAAAATATCAAATGTGATATTTGTTGTGTCGAAATGTTAAATTTTTTTGTATTGGTTTATTTTCAAAATGCACAGAAGTTTTTTTTTGGTGGTTTATTGAATATATTTTAAATAAATACAATATGATTAAATTCTTGCATCAAGCAGTTTTGAAAGAGATAAATAATAATTTTTATAAAAAGATTTCATTTATTCATCTATTTTCTTTCAAATATTTCTCAATTCTCAGCTTTACCGTCGATAAATTTACTTCTAAATCAATCAAATTAGTATCACAATTCGGTATTTTCTTTGTATAATAATCATTGAATGTAATAAGCATATAATTAATTGGTTCATATTTTGTGTAATCACTTCCTTTAACTGGAATATTAAAAAGCGGTATTGCACGGGTATTATGCGCTGAATTATAATAGTTTAAACTGTTTGATATATGAGTTGACTTCATATCTCCATTAATAATTTTGAAGATGAAAGACACTTGCGCCATCTTCCGTCTTTTCTCCAGCGTAATCATTTGTAGAAACAGCAGTCTATGCTCATATTTTGGAAGTCTATAGCCATCCCAGTTCATTCTCCTTAGCGCATAAAGTAAAAATTGTTTTTGTATTGACTCTATTCTTTTGCACATATTGTCGTAGTGTGGATTCCATATTTCCGATCCATATTCGATTATTGGTAATACAAATGTAAAATAAAGGCGTTTAATTGTCCATGGATCGACGAAATCCTTGCCGTAGAACTTTAACCAAGCCAGTCTTGATTTGGCTTTAGCCGTGACATGCTCAATGTGTGATTTGAAATTCATTTGCACATCAAGCAACACTCCCAAGTCCCTTATTATAAAGACTCTTTCAATTTGCACGCCGCCTATGTTGTGTTTGTATTCATATTGCAGTGATCCCCGATGATATGATATGATCTTTGTTTTGTTTACATTTAGTTTTAATAAATTGCGTCTATAATAATCCGCTACACGATCCAAGTCATTTTGAAGATTAATGCAGTCATCTGTTGAGGTGATACATTTTGAAATTTTTGTATCATCAGCGAATGAAATTATGGTAGAATTGGTCACGAAGAAAGGTAGATCAATTACAAACATAATGAACAAAGTAGCGCCAATGGGATATCCTTGACCCGTCCCAGAAGTAACTTCGATTGGGTCGGATTTGATATCTGCAATCTTTACAATTTGTCTGCGACCAGACAAGTAAGATTTGATCCATTTTAACAGCTGCACATTCAATGCCATGATTTCAAGTTTTTGAATAAGTAAATTTAAGTTAACCGAGTCAAAGGCCTTGGCTATGTCTAAATAGATGGCGACTGTTTGATGTCTTCTTCCCATGTTAATAATAGTTTTTGAAGTAAATTCCACTAAATTTGTTATAGTTGACCTGTTCTTGATGAATCCATGCTGACTTTCGTGTACTATGTTCTTCAAATATAGATTGGGATGATCTGTGACGATTGAATCAAGAATTTTTGATGTAATGCACTGCAAAGCAACACCGCGATAATTTTGAACGTTGTTCCTATCGCCGTTCTTGTAAACTGGTCTGACAAATGACGTTCTCCATAACTGCGGTACTGTGGCAGTTTCAAGTGATTCCTTTAATAGTGTTGATATTGGCTCCTGTAATGAAATCAAACAATGCTTGATGAATTTGTTTGGAATTTCATCAGGACCACAGACAAGATCATCTGGCAGCATGCTTATATGTTGACCTACATGCTCCTCGGTTATTTCGATCATTGATATTTCTGCACAAATATCACGTATTTTTTCTATTTCCGAGCTGTCATATCGCAGATCACCTTCTAAAGAGCTGTAAGCGGTGCCAAAGTGTTTTGCAAAAAAACTAGCAATTGTTAATTGATCGCTTGCTTTTTCATTCAAATAAGTCATCTCATGTGGTAGATCTTCACTTTTCCCTTTTTTGAAATTCACGTGCTTGAAAAATTTCTTTGGATCATCATCTATCTGTTTCTCCTTCTCTATTCTGTAATCTCTGAGAGCTGAGCGTGCACATCGTTTATATTCCCTTCTTATTTCTCTGTAATGTTGGTTGTAGTTCTTGTTAATCTTGTGAAGTCCCAGTTCATAGCAACTATCCAGCACAATCTTCTCTTTTTCACTGGCTGCATTGATAGCAATTGCAATGTCTGGGTCCTCATTTTCATCAACAAACCATATCAATTTCGGCAGATTAAAGTCTCCGGACACAATCAAAACATCATT